ATCTTATGTAAATAAATGGGTCCCTTTGTTGTTCCCTCTGCCATGGTTAACTACTTTAATATTTGCCTTAAAAAGACATTATTATGATTAACATAAACTTGGTTCTATATTGTTATTTAAAAAAAAAAAAGCTATATAAACATATTACACACAGAGAGAGAGGTAGTATAAAGAAGTTATTTAAAGATGTTGCAGTCAAGTTTTGTAAAATTTAAACTGGCACAATAGTTTAGTTAACCGATAAATACTTTAATAATTTATTTAAAAATTTGTATATCTTTATCTTAATATGCAAGTTGGAGAATAAAAAATCTTGAAGAAGTTAGTTTAATAAAAATGACATGCTTAAGGAAAAAATGTAAAATGTTGATTAGAATTATATTAAAAATTTAAAAGTGCAAAAAGGGAAAATTATACGTTGTTCATAAATTGGTTTTATATTTTGTATAGGAAGAAATGAATAATAGATTGATTATGGTAACAATGAAGGAAGAACCATTGATTAAACAAAGATATTCCATAAAGGAACTTGACTGACTTAATTGTCAAGGTTTGTATATAATGGTTTTGTTTTACATTAAATGAAAGGAACAGCATATATTTAGTTAACATCTGAAAACAATGTGGGAGATAGAAAACAAAACCTTTACAAGTGAAACATACTTTCTGAACTTTTGCATTGTTCAGTTGTTTTTACACACTTTTTTCCACTATGATGCTTCAACACACACACTTACCTTACAGCCTTATTTGACGTGTTCTCTTATCCAAGTTACTCTCTCTTGCCATAATTTTCACCACACCCATTGGGAGTTCAAAGGGATTTTGTCTAAAAGTGCAAAGGGCCAAACACCAAGCACAGTCAATGTCCATCACTTTCCATCTAATGTACTTCTCCATGAATAATTGAACATGAACATGAAGATGTTTGATGGGTGCAACAATAATGGAAACCCTATGGTCATGATAGGAACTTAAAAAGAAATGAGTACTTTGGTTGTCTTAGACAAAATTGAAATGCTCAGATATCAATGTGGCAGCAAAGAAGGGGGACATGCTTAGGTTTGCTATGAATTCTTTATAGAAACTATGATTTGGACATGTCAGAGACAAAGCTTAGTAATTTATCTTAGTTCCCCCATGTGAAGCCTAACAACAACTCCTCCAATTCTTCTCCCATATGAAGTGTAAAGTTGCCTAAACATTCAAAAATTAAAACCTTATGCATAAGTTTTCAAGTCATTGCTCCCATTTTCTTTTTTTCTTTTTCTTTTTCTTTGTTTGTTGGCTAAAGGGTACGTGTTTCTGTCATGTTCCTTTCTCTCTTCTTAAGACACCTCACACCTCAAGCAATTTCTAAGGAAAGCCTACTCTACATATCCAATATCCAATATAATACTACTTTCTTAAACCCTTAAACTTCATTTTATTTCATGAAACAATAATAGGTCTTATTAACCAATGTGATTAAGAAATTAATAAATACTATTTTTAAATTATGTTAAAATATATATAAATAAATATTTCTATCTTTTATTCCTCAATTAACCAAAAACCATGGTTAACTTTTTTAATAATAAAAATCTTTTAGTTGACATCCCATGATTAGAGGGCAACATGCAAGTCATCCATATATATAATTATAAAATCCATATCTACTATCCACAGCCGACCTCAATAACATTTTTAATATATTTATACAAAGAGAGCCTTTCAAGATTATTAGTGCCTATCCCTATAACGTGTTCATAACTTTACTATTTTATTTTATTTTTTGGTTCGACATCAATGTTTCCCATTTTTCTTTTGCTGATGAGTTTTTTGTATAAAAGAATATAGAAAGCATGATATGATTAAAATAAATAAGAAAACAATTTCAGTTGCATTTGGACCACATGGGATGGTGAAAGAGGGTTTCCATTAGAAAATGGACTAATCGGTGGCTCCGTGACACACACAGCGCCACTTTCAGATCACGGGATTATTTCATTGCAACCACCTCATAGACGTTAAAGCAACGAAAATGAACCCTAAATTCATAAACTAAATATACCAACAATTTATTTTCATTTCAAAATAAAATCTTTATATATTAGTAGTTTGACATTGAACTAATATGCATGAACTTTAGTTTATAGATATTAAATTATTAGTATAAATATTGTATGTTTATATTGATTTATATCATTAATTCATCAACTATAATGTATTATATAACCTACTCATTTGGTATGCGAGTGTAAGCACATAAGACTATTATTTTAAATTTGTTAGAGAAAACTTAGAGATTTTAACGTTTGATGTTAATTTAAGGTTTGTCTGATAATTGTGTCTTTGACACTATTGCATGTCTCGTAATATTTTATTGGGTTTCCTTTGGTGTTTTCGCATTTTTATTGTATTTTTTATAGTACAATATAGATTAGAAAGACGAAGGTTTCGAGTTCAACGCGTAAACGTACATGCAAGAAGTGATGAAATTAATATTTAGGTAATATAATATGTGGATGACTCATTGGTTGATAAAAAAATTAAGATTAAGAAATAATAGAGGATGCATGCATCCCTAAAAGTGGATGTTTATTGTTTATATCTTTAGGCACAAGTTGGGCTCATCAAGGATTTCAATAATGTGATGACTTGCTATGTGATTTAAAATATTGACTTGCCATGAGTCATTAACATGGCCCATGACTCACTAGATTTCCTATCAAGTTAAATTGTCATCATTAAAAATCACTTCAATTTAATTTTACTAGATTTATTTTTCATTAAAAATAATATTACCCAATAAATAATATAATTTTAATTTATTTTATTGAGACTCTACGTCTAAAGTTTGATCATACATATTTCTTATGTGTGTGATATTACATAGTATTATTCAATTCATGAGTTAAATTAAAGATAAACTTCGGGTGCACAATCGATTACGAAAAACGAAAATAATGCATGAAAAAAAAATGTTCATTATATTTCTTTTATTTGTGTTCAATTGTATTTTTATTTTTTATCTTATTTTTTATTTAAAATTTTATTTAAGCGATACTAAATTATTTATTACTTGGATTAACTTTCTCGTTAGTTGTATTTGTATTTTTTTTAAATATTTTATTTCATATTTCATAAACATCGTCACAATGGTCAATATTCTGAAATAGTATCTTTTTTTTTTTTGAGGAATGAAACAATGTCATAAGGTTTTATATTAAAATTAAATCATAATATATTTATGCCATAGGGTTTTATCGACAGCGAATCACAATATTACTCGTAATTTTGCCTTTTAATAATTGGTAATATTTTCTAATATTTTTAGTGTAATATTAAATTATCAGACAGTACTGGAGAATGTAACTTTGAGGCAATATTTTAGTTCTTGTTTTTATTATCATTGTTTTGTTTTTTCGGGCCAAAATGGTATTTTATAGTGTAATATTAAATTATAACACCCTACTGGCGAATGTAACTTTGAGGCAATATTTCAGTTTTTGTTTTTATTATCATTGTTTTGTTTTGTGGGCCCAAATGTTTTTCCATCTAGGCCTGATTGTAGTTTTGGTACAAATTGTTTTGTGTGTTTGTTTTTTTGGTCAGACATAGTTTTGTTTGTTAAGTTTAGCAAGAAATTTCTCTACAGTAACGGGCCTCAGTTTTGAATGGACAAAGGGTTTTCTTACACATTATCAGATTGGGCCAAAAGCCCACAACTGAAATAAAATCCTTAAACTTTACCGACCAAAAAATCCTTAAACTTTGATCCATTTATCACAAACCAAAAAAAAGTCGTATGACAAAAAAAAAAAAACAATAAAATCGTCTAAAGCACACATACAAAAATATAAAAATTAAAATCATTGGGCAATGTTATAAATTTTGCACCAATACATCATTTCATGCCCTGACCATTAACTTATTAAAAGGTGAGTGAGGTGCTCAAATATGAATAATTTGTCTATATGAAATCTTAATCATTCATTGAATTATCCTCAGAATTATAGTTTTTTAGTTTTTGAAAATTTTCAAAATACAAAAAAGAAAAATAGATTGAGCACGGAAACTGTGCGTTGTAAACTCTATTTGAAATATTAAATGAAACAAAAGTTAATCTCCGAAAAAAAAATATTTTAACCAATAAAGAAATTCAATATAAAAGAATCAAAGAATAAATAAAATCCCTAAATATTGAAAAAAATCAAACAGTTTGAATAAAGAATAAAAAAAGAAATTTACAATACAGTTATTATATATATGTTTTTGGGATAAAATAGGACAAAATATCATTATCTTATGCAAATAATTTTGCAGAAAATATTCTAATAAGAACACAATCAATACAATATGAATCAATAATGTTAAAAAAAATTATGAGAAAGAAATTCAAGAATGTTTAGTAAAATGGTTAATAAAACTAAACAAATCACTATATAATTGTGCAAAATTCTATGTGATGTATTTATTAAAACTAAAAGAGGAATAATAGCATTTGTAATTAATTATAAACTTTTTAAAACAAATGAAAGTGGATCCGACGATAGGTATATTATATTTTAAAAAAAGGGAAAGTATTTGACACCTAGAAAAATTTAACTATGTCTTAATAATAATAAAATGTTAAATAAAACGTTAATTTTTATAAGATTTATTCATGATTTTTTATTTGACAGTGAAAGGAACTATTGGAAAATTAAGATTTTGCGTTCACCTAAAATGAAAATTAAGATTTTGCCCAAATCAATATTCAATTCTAGAATATTCTTGTTTAGTCGAGTCAATGTAATTAATGAACTGCAAAATCTACTTTTATATATAATGTAAAAAAAAATAAAAATCAATTTCTATATGTTGTTTCTATAAGAAAATTATTCAGACCGAACCTTTTTCCGAAAAAATATTTGTGAGAAACCAGAAAAAAACAAAAAATATATACAGCACGTGCGTTTCACATGTCACACAATCCTTCCACTTTCCACATCCATTTCAATTGTCGAAATACAGTTGCAGACAAGACCTAGGCTTCGATTTTGATTTGTGCCAAACTTCTGACTAAATAAGGTTGTCCGAATTCATCATTTCATTATAAGTTCTTCAATTTCTTATTTCCATTTCTCCAAAATCATTTCAGATTTGGCTTAGTTTTAACAACACAGCGGAGCAAGGAAGGAACTAGCCATGGTTACTGTGACAGCTATGGTATCTTCTTCCGCAACGGGTCAACCCTGTTGCTCCTGGACAAGTGGCTCCATTACCATTTCAAACTCCACCCCATCACTCTCTTTCAAAGCCAAAGCCAGAACCAGAACCAGAACAAGAACAAGGACAAGGCTAACATGGCTGAATCCTCAACCTTGTGCTGCTTTGGCTGAGGCAACACCTCCAAGTTTAACTCCTTCACCAGCTGTGTCCAAAGATGGGTCCTTCAAGGTACTTGCGCGTCCAGGGGACCGTGCTGATGATCTTCAAGCTGAGACCAGAGCCATGGCTCGTGCTGCCAATGCTTCTGTCTACACCCCTCAACTTGTTGCCTCCAAATACGGTTCTCAACCCTTCAGGGTAGTTCTATTTCTTCTAAAGTTTGAGTCTTTTTGGCAATATCTTTTGTTTGTATGATTGATTTTTTGAATTGATTTGACCCTTTTTGGATTTGTGATTAGGTGGTGAGAAGGGCCCTTCAGGTTCTGAGTGCTTTGGGTTTTTTTGGGTTGAAGCTGTTGTTGGACCAAAGCAATGGAGTGGTTGATCAGAATAAAAGGATTCGCGCAATTGAGCTTAGGAAGACATTCACAAGGCTGGGACCAACTTTTGTCAAATTGGGTCAGGGATTGTCTACTAGGCCTGATATCTGCCCACCTGAGTATTTGGAGGAGCTCTCTGAGCTTCAAGTATTGAATTTATATTCCCTTTTAGCTTCTTTTGATTTGATTGGTGTGATCTCTTAGATTCTGATGTCACATCTTAGCTTTGAGTGAGAATTTTGATTGGTCCAGTGACTGGTTAACATGCATCATAACTAGCTCTTAGCTATTTCAATATGGTTTCTTGTTGGACATGAACAACGTTGATGCTATGCATGAAAACTTATTCAACAATGTAGTATGGCCCTTACAATTGCTCCTTTTGATTTGATTTGTGTATTCTTTTAGATTTTGCTGTTATGTGAAGCATGTTATAGGGAATGATTAACTTAGCAGTGAGTGAGAATTTTGATTGGTTCAGTGAACGATGTCAAAATGCAGCATAACAAGCTCTTCACTATTTCATTTGGGTATATGGTTTCTTGTTGGACATTGCACAATGTTGATGCTACCCAATGAAAACTTATTCATAATGTAGCATGGCCCTTATAATATTTCTGTTGTGAAGATGTTTATGAATGAACTGGATACTTAAGTTGCTGTGATCATTTGCTTGCTTTACCAGGATGGTTTGCCAACATTCCCTGATGAGCAGGCCTTTGCATGCATTGAGAGGGAATTGGGTCTATCTCTTGACTCTATTTTCTCTTCTATATCTCCAACGCCTGTAGCAGCAGCCAGTTTGGGTCAAGTTTATAAGGCCCGGTTGAAGTACTCTGGGAAACTTGTTGCTGTTAAGGTGCAACGCCCTGACATCGAAGAAGCTATAGGATTGGACTTCTACCTAATTAGAGGTGTAGGGTTTCTCATAAATAAATATGTAGACGTTATCACCAGTGATGTGGTTGCACTTATTGATGAATTTGCGCGTAGAGTCTTTCAAGAGCTAAACTATGTGCAGGTTAGTTCTTCTGCCAATACCAAATTTTGTATTTTAGTTGCAGCTAAGCATGTATGATAATACTTATTTTCACATCTTGGTTTTTTTTAAGGAAAATATAAACATTGAATTCTTTGCAGCTTTGCCAAATTTTAGGCAAAAGGCTTATAATGATGGTAACCGTTTTCATTTGTAATTCAAATCTTCTCTAGGGTGACGTATGCATCATATGTTAACTGATGAAACTACATATTTGTAAATTATGTAAGATATTTTTTGGGATTGAATGTTAATTTTGACAGGTTCCTGCAGGAGGGACAAAATGCAAGGAGGTTTAAAAAATTGTATGCTGACAAGGAAGATATCTTTGTTCCTGATGTTTTCTGGGACTATACAAGTGCTAAAGTACTGACAATGGACTGGGTTGATGGAGTCAAACTAAATGAGCAAGAAGCAATTGAGAGACAAGGATTAAAAGTCTTGGATCTGGTAAACACAGGCATACAATGCAGTCTCCGACAATTACTTGAGTATGGATATTTCCATGCAGATCCTCATCCTGGGAATCTATTAGCAACACCTGAGGGAAAGCTTGCTTTTCTTGATTTTGGAATGATGAGTGAGACTCCAGAAGAAGCAAGATATGCCATAATTGGTCATGTTGTTCACTTGGTTAACCGAGACTATGAGGCTATGGCTCGTGACTACTATGCTCTTGATTTCCTATCAACTGATGTTGATGTATCTCCAATTGTACCAGCACTTCGAAACTTTTTTGATGATGCGCTTAGCTATACTGTTAGTGAGCTTAACTTCAAGACACTTGTGGATGGTCTGGGAAATGTTTTGTATCAATATCCATTTAACGGTGAGATGATACTATGTTTCAATTACATATTGTTAACTATAATTTCTTTTCCAATATTACAGGAGTCATATGTAAATATTTACTTTTTATTCCTAAATCCTAACTTTCCTGGAGACTCTGATAGTCTGATTGGTTGACTTTCTGTTTTTCTGTTCTTTTCCCCTTCTGTCGACAGTCCCCGCATACTACGCATTAATACTAAGGTCTCTCACCGTTTTAGAAGGTTTAGCACTGTATGCAGATCCAAATTTTAAGGTACTGGCTGCATCATACCCGTATTTTGCTAAAAGGCTCCTAACAGATCCAAATCCATATCTAAGAGATGCTCTTATTGAGTTACTTTTCAAGGATGGGAAGTTCAGGTTTGGAATCTGCTGCTATCCTAAATGCGTTGTTGTTTAAACTTGATGGTGTAGAATAATTTATAGTAAGTGCACTTGAATATTCATTGATCTGGTCCAGTGCAGATGGAATAGACTTGAAAATCTGCTAGCCCAGGGGAGAAAGGACAGAGATTTCTCTGCTAAAGAGGCTTTACAACCTGTCCTGAAGGTATTGTTGAGTCCAGATGGTGAAGAGCTGAGGAGTCTAGTTATAAAAGAGGCTGTTCGTGTATCTGAAGCTTTTACTCTTGGCACAATGTCTGAAACATACCGGTATATTCCTGACTTTGTTCGGACCATTGTCTTTAATAGCAATGCAAATGGACCCCTTATGCTGTCAGAAACTGAAATGCAAAGCATGATAGAGCTTAGAGATCAAGTGATTAGGATATGGGGACTTCTTCGATCCTCAAATGATTTTGATCCTGCTGTTTTGTTACCAATACTACAGGTAAGATCTAACATTTGCACTTGCAGCATTATTGTAATTTCGCTAACTACTCTGTTTTCTTTCTTTTGCCATATTTTATGTTGTTATTACTTAAGATGTGTAACTCAAAAAATACTTTATTATTGCATGTTGGACATATATGAACTATTCAATGAATTTGGACAAATGCTAGAAAAGTTCCAAATTAGTGTTTATTGTTAATTTGTTAATCTTTTAATAGAGAATTAAATATCATTCTGTCATAAATTGAAAGGGAGTTTGTGGAACATTTGAATTTTGGAGCATCTGAAGGTGTGCTATGATGGGGGTTACAGAGTAATGGATCAAGGAATTTTACAATTGAAAAGACACGTCAATGCAAGGCTTTTGACCATTATAGACAAAAATTAAAAACGAATTAAGAATAGGATAGTTCAATTTACTAGTATAGTTATAGTTAATTGTTACCCACAATAAAGAGGCATTACTAACAAGATGAAAACACGTGTCAAAATCCCTCTAAGTGGCACTTGTTAGCACTAGACAACATATTTTGAAGTGATTCATGTGAATAATGTCAACACTATAGCACAAGTGATGCCTCTTAAGCAGGAGCAACATGCCCAGTAGTGACATGTGTCATTATCTGCACAAGTGGCGCCTATCCAGCATGAGTAATATATTCAGCAGTGATAGGTGGCACCATATCCATGAGTGATGCCCTCCACCATGAGTCACTTATGTGATAGTGGCACGTGTCAATTCTCTATCATGTGGCGCGTATCAGATGGAAGTCACTCTCCTCCTACACTGCCACACGAGTGTCAATTTCTTCTCAAGTGGTACCTGTTCAAGATGAGTTTTGCAATTTGTACATTATTCATTTTGTCTATTCTGGTAAATTGTTTATCAATTATCCTATTCCGAGAAATTGTTTTTAATTTCTATCTACAATGGTCAAAAAGCCTCTATGCAACCCAAATATAGCAAACGAGTATTATAGCTCTTAATCAACTTTAAAACATGAGCAATGATATTGAGAACTAAGATGAACTTGAAAAATGAACTGTACAGTTATAACATAGGACACAGTTAACTTTTGAAATTTACATTAATAAATTATTTTCTAAACTATTCAGCGGACTTTGATTGAAATTTTGGGCCTTTATATAAAAACCCTTTTTATTCAACATTTTTACTTGTAATTTACAAAAAAAAAAATGATGTTTAATTATGAACAGGTCCTTCAGCAGCCTGAGGCACGCAGATTTGGGGGGCGTGTTGTCGGTGGGATCACTCAACGCCTAGCAGCGCGGTTTCTTCAGCAAGTACTTCGAGTTCCAACAACAGCTTCTTCAACATAAATTGTGTCACTATCAATACTAGATAAGGCATGCATTTTATCTATATTACCTATGTACATATGTAGTTCGAATTCATTTTGTGATGCTCAAGGTTAACTGAGATCTAATTACTTGTTCCATCATCATAGTTTGTTGTGGTAGTACAGTCCATTTTTATTGATTGATTGAACCATATGTCACAATGATATTCTGTCTTTGCTTTTGCTAATGTATTTGGTTTGTTTCTTTTTTCTGTCAGGTTATTGTCGACAGGGAAGATAGGAGTTATTACAATCCTAACACAAGGAGATAGAGTTAAGATATTGATTCTTGCAAAAATTATTTGATTCTCTTCTATGTATTTTATGCTGGTTCATCATGATCAGCATCAAGAAATCATATTGAAATAATAGCAATTGGTATATCATTGCCCTTACATGTATATCTTGCTGTTTTTTTATTCAATATGGCATGCATTGATGTTTCGGTTAAAATAAGCAATTGTGCCACTTTTATTATGGTTCCTTTTTTTTATTCCATATGGAAGTAGAAGAATTTGAAAGAGAAAGCATGCAAGCAATTGCTTAATCCTAACAGAAAACCCACATTCTCTACCCACCCCACTGCACATACAAATGTTTTAAATAGAAGTTTTTGCAACAGTCAATCTAGCATGGTTGTAAGTAGTCGTTATTAATTTGTAATGTTATTAGAATTGTATGAATAGTGATGCAATTTGATTATGAGATGCACGATTCAGATTGCATCCAGAATTGTTTTTGGTGTTGAATCACACCTTGAATCTTCTGTATTACAGCTGAATCACAAGAATCATACCTTGAGTTGTCTGTATCGCACCTGGAATTGTTTGTGACTTGCATTTTTAATTTTTTTTTTTATGGGTTATAGAGCTGAATTTGTGCAGTCACTTTTTTCTTCATCATTGTGACTGTTATTAATTGAATCTTTAGTCTATTTTGAAGTTGACATTTATCGTTGGTAGCTATATAGTGAGTTATTTGATTGATGCCAAAATGTTTCATGTTAAAATACTTTTTTTTTTCTTTTTAATTCTTTATCCTGAATCTTACAATTATGATATGGTTGGATTCATGATTTGAAGATAGACCTATTGATTTATGTTAAAATACTTATGTTTGGATTTCAACTTGAGAGCCATGGCTATTTGAATAAGATCTGCGGAACTGATTGTAAGTAGGTGTATTTAACAAATAGTAGTAATAAACTGGGTTCTTAAATTGAGTTTTCATAATATTATTTTGCTGAGATTATTTCTAATTACAAAGATTATTATGATTTAATAGAAAACAACAAACTTCTAATAAAAAACTATCTAGGCTTATAGTATTACTTTTACATTTTTTTTAGGTTTATTTTTAGTTTAATTTAAATCTTTATTTTTTTTATAATTGTCAATTATTTATTAATATTATTAATGTCTAATGATTATATAATATTAATAATTTTTTTAAATTATTACTTTTCATAAAGTAAAAAGATTGAGAAAATATAATAGTTCGTGAATTTGTTAATTTAATAATGATTGAAAAAAATAAAATAAATTTAGTTTATTTAATTTTTTTGTTTTATTTTATTTTATAAATTTATTAATTACATATGGTACAATAATTTAATTATAAAATAGATTTTATATATTTTATATCTATATAAATTAAAATGAAACATGATGTTAAAGTATAAATATTAGATTTAACATTATTATATTTTAATAAATAGTAGACTCTGATTTATAATTATTTTTTTAATATAAAGATCTTAATGTTAGGAAATAATAAAAACAAAAAAAAAAAGTGTCAAATACAAGAGTTAAGTTTATAATTAAACATAATAATGATCTTAATGTAGATATGTTGTAGTTAGTCTGCTCCTATTAAGAAATATATTATGATCTGTCTTTTTATTTTTTATTTAATTTTTATTTTTTTTATATAAATTTTAAATTTTCCATAATTCTTTCTAATAATATATGTTTTATTTATAAAAAAGTTAAGAAATATACATGAACTATTGCAAGCACATAGGTCCGGAAGTGCAACTTGTGTAATGTCCTTTTCACCGCAAATTATGATCATCACAACAATCCAAACTCTATTTCGGTACACAGATCAAAGATGTTTGTGGTTGTTCTGAAAAAAATTATCTATTAGAGAAAGTTCGTGTATAATTTACCCTTCAGAATTTAACCTGTAGAAGTGTGAGGAGTGTAAAGGAAAGGCTTTGATAGTAACAAATATTATATACATCCTTTTCAAGATTGAACTTTTGCAAGTGACCCAATATTAGACAAGGCTTTGATATTATATTAGAAAAAGATAAGCCTAATTTATTCTAAAAAACTAGCTCATTAAAAAGGATTGATCAAGCTTATAAAAAATTATTTTAATCATATTTTTAACTACACGTAACATCTTAACATTCTTTTCTAATCATGTCTTCGCAATTTTTCTGTCGTGTTCACTGGCTTGTGGCTAATGACATATCTGCTTAAATGCGTAGTGTATGATAATGCAATGAAACACCAAAACGGAAATTATAGGGACATACGTTTGCATGAGAGTGAGAGGTGCGTGACAGCTTTCTTTTTATTTTGATTCACCTAATATATGTCGGTACTCAGATTTTTTTTCAAACAAGAATGAGTTTGTGGGAGGTTCCTTGAACTAGTTATATATGAAGTGCTTATCTTTGGTTGGCCCTGCTTTATTATTTATATCTATAGCTACTTCATCAACATCAAAATGTTCTTCATCCCCTCCCCAATTCCCCACTCCTATTTCCACCCTTGGACCAAAAAGGAAGTACCAGGCCCCAAATCCTAATAAAAAATTAAAAATTATGTTAGATTGTATTAGAAATCACAGAAAAAAGTGTATTTTTTTTAACAAAATTTTTTCACTTTGAATTTTTTAACTAGTACCCTTAAGCAATGGTTAGCATTTTCCTACTGATAATTATGTTTACTACTGATTACAATTGTCCACCGTATTTCCGCATAACTATTAGTTATATTATAGGCCACATTAATATTGCTTTAGCAGTCTCAGGTAATCTGGAGTCAATGCGCAATGGGTATGAGTAGGTGTCTGGTGTGGGGCATTTTCTTGAAGTGAACTTTAAAGTGGAATAAAATTTAAAGTTGTTTTTAATGTGATTTGACTTAAAACATCCTGAAGATGAACTTTCAAGAGGAATGAAAAGTTAATTGGAATAAATTTTGAAGTGAAATTAAAATTTCAGTTGAATGAATGAATTACTTGCTTCAGTGGTTTGTCTTTTTTTTTATTGAAGAAATTTTATTGTGGGGGCCATTTTAAGATTAGGGCTTAGGATAAACTTCTAAGTTCTAACTTCAGCAATGATATACAAAATGATTACAAATTGCTAAGAATAGGAGACTTCTACAACAAAAAGTAAACTGTCTAGGCCAATTTTCAGTTGATTACATAATTGTTTTTCAAGAAAATCGATAGATGTTTTATATGGCTAAAGATATAATTAAAATGTTTTTGAATTAGTTTTTAAGAGTGAGTCTTATTTTAATTTATTGTTGGATCATGGTATCTAATCTTATAAATTATGCATTAAATGTTTATTATTAAACATAAGAGGTATGTATTGACATGTATGTATTGGTTTAAAACATAATTAAATAAAACACTGTAAAATTTGTCCAATAATCTTTTTCTCTTAAGTTAGTTTTTAAGAGTAAGTTAATCTCAATCTATTATTAATAGTATAGATGAAATTAAAAGATAAGTTTAAAAGGTTTTGGAACGTTTTGAATTATGTACAATAGGTACAAACACCAAATAGTGTGAAAGGAAATGATGGTTTGGAATGGAGAAGGATTGAGTCTCTAGCATCCAAGCCTTCATTGAGTTTATTTTTCTCTTAGGTTCATTGTTCTCTTAGAGCATGTTTAGGAGGTTTGAAAGAGAAGGGAAGGAAGGATATGTTTTTTGATTTTAAATTTAAATAATTACATATTATTATGATAAAAAATATATAATTAATACATTAAATTTATGTTAATATATCAAATTATATCTTTTATTTTAATAAAATATTAATTTTAAATACAAAACTTGTCTTTCCCTCCCTCTCCTCTAAAGTCCTCATTCTGAATCAACCCTAAGACTCTTAGTCAAGATCTTGGAGTTTTTTTTGGTAACATGATCTTTGAGTTTATTGATATCAACTGTGCTACAATGAACTTTGTGATTTGGGAGGCTGGGCTTCTTACATTTCAGTCTCTTATGTTGACTCAAGCCATATACATGCACTTAATTTAGTCTGTTCATGCACGTAGTTTGACCCAAAAAAATGGTGGTAGATTGTGCTATTAGTTTTTTTCACATGCATGGCTGTTATGTTAATTTCTATTTATCTTAGACTTGTTTATACATTCGAATCTCATTCCTAAAGATTAATCTTTTATCTTCTTTAACAACTTTCCATTTAAAAATTCATAATTAGAATCTTACTCTTGTTTATTATGTTTATACATGAAAAATATTTAACTATATTGTTAATTAATACAAATAATCTTAACACATAACTCTAATGCTTAACATTAGATATTTAGCAAGCAAAGTTTGTAAAATATTTATAAGTGAACAAACATTAAAATTAGATAGAATTTAGTACTGAAATAAACTAATATGATAATAAATAGTAGAATAGATCTAACTTATTATGAAAAAAATTGTTTAGGTTTAATAAAGAGCATATTGATCGTATTTTTAATCATCATCTTAATGTCGAAATGGTATTTTAAATTCATAAATATAGTGTTCTAAATAATTAATCATTATTGCGTTTTAGTTTTTGACATAAAAAAATAAAAAAATGTAATTAATGCAGTTACAATTTTTGTTACAATGCAGTGGTTGAGACCATAGAAACATTAATGTTATGACTATAATTATTGTTGTAGAGGGTAATTTAAAACAGTATTTTATTTATTTTGGATGGTAAACAAATAAGAAAACTGTTTGGCTGGGAACAGAATAAGAAAGCGGTGTGTTAATCTTAAATGTGAACAGTGAATAGGTATTGATAAAAAGAAATGGGCAATGCAAATTTCATTCTTTTGGTGTCTCAACAACTGTGTTAAAATCCATGGCACTGTACCCTTCATATTTTGACCAAGCAAAAGTGATTAAAGAGTGTGATAGAAGAGAGAAGCAGCATCAGCACCACCACTAACACCACCGTCACCACCTTTCACCAGTGGAGATTTGGCGGCTACACATGTTCCCACAGGCTTTTGCCACGTGTCCTATTTGGCCGGTATTGACGGTTGGGACACTCAACTGTGCCCCTTAATAGAGGAACATTGAGGCCATACTCCCATGTATCTTTGTCTGTTGTCCCCATCTTTTCCTTTGTTCTTTGTAGGTCCCATTCTTTCTTTTATTATCATGTGACTCCTGCCTCTCTTTTAA